ACGCCCGGCCCCATCAGAGCATTGTTGATATTGATCTCTTGTGTTCTTCGTGCCAAAGACACCAGTTTACCAGCTCCATTCTCATGATGTTACCAACGGCATAACACAAAATTACTGCTAGCCTTGCATGATTATTTATATCTGTGCTGTCATCCAAGCCCATGGAGTAACAGGCTGCCTTTGTAAGTCCGTGGTGAGCTGCTGACTAACCTCACTTGCTATGCGCAGGTCTCGATCTTTTAATAGTATTTCTGCATGTGGCATCTCAGAGATGTGTTACATAATTCTGTCCTTAATGGGAAATCATGAAAAATGGAATTACCCCCAGACAACATGGCCATTTTGATAAACTCCCCATCAGAGAGGGACTTACCACGTTTTGCTGTGCACAAGGTAATTTGAAAGCTAACAGCTGTCAGATGGTTAGTTTTAGAAAGATAGTTACAAAAAGTAAGATACTAGGAAGGGTATTGCCTCAATTTCCCTTCAAGAAACTTTTTCCTTTCGGTTTCACGAAGTTTGGCAACACTTCTGTGGGGGTGTCAAAGTGCCGCCGGACCCTTGATGTGTGACACACAGCACTTACTACTCGGAGGACGTAACACTTTCCTGCGGCACTCAGGCCAAAGGACTCTGCCCAGCCTCTTGGAATTGCCTTCCACTTTTTCAGTTTTATTTGTTTATTTTTTTGCTGTAGTCACTTGTGAGGTTCAAGACTTACAGTCTAAAAGTCCAACACTCGTTCAGGGCAAAACCCTACCAAAAATCAGAATAGATGGTCTTTCTCTCAATTTGATAAAAGCCATCTATGGCAAACCAACAGCCAACATCATACTAAATGGACAAAAACTGAAAGCTTTCATTCTAAAATCAGGAATAAGTCAAGGATGTCCATTGTCACCACTCTTATTCAATACAGTTTTGGAAACATTAATCAGAGCATTTTATGAGTACCGGGTATTGAACTGGTACTGGGAATTGAACTCACGACTTTGCACTTGCCAGGCAGGTGCCATACTGTTGAGCTAAATCCCTGGCCCAGTCAGAGTAATTAGACAAGAGAAAGAAATAAAAGGAATAAAGGTAGGAAAGGAAGAAGCTAAATATCATTATTTACAAATGGCATGATACTCTGCACAGAAGACCCCACAAACTCCACCAAAAGATTTTCGTCTTAGTTACTTTTCTCTTTGCTGAGACAAAATACCCAGCACCCAAAGTTAAAGAAAAAAAGTTTTATTTAACTTATTTAAACTCACAGTTTGTAGAGGTTAAATAGTCCATAATCAGCGGCTCCAAAGCAGGATGGTACATAGCAGAGGAGTAACAGTTCATGACTGTGGAATACAGCAAGAGCAACAAGATCAAAGGAAGAAAGAAGCCTTTCTGCCCCTTTCATTTTATCCAGACTGCTGGGATTAGGGCAGTGCCAATCCAATCAGTGGACTGATCCAGCAATCACCCACCCTTAATCCCAGCACCCTTAATCCTAACATTGCATATGAATCAATCACACACTGTAGATTCAGCCACCTCCGAAGAAAAAGCCCTATGACCACATGAGACTTTGGGGGGACATCTAGACACAAACCATAACAGTCTTTTAGGTTTAATAACCAAATTCAGTAGCATAGCTAGATACAAAGTCAACACTCAAAAATCAATAGCCTTCCCGTACACAAATAACAAACTCATTGAGAGAGAAATTAGGGAAATGACACCTTTCACAATAGCATTCAAAAAATGAAATACATAGGTATCAATCTAAGGAAGGATCTAAAAGACCTCTGCATTGAGAACTACAGTACTCTGAAAAAGGAGATTGAAGAGGATATCAGAAAAATGGAAAGATACACCTTATTCTTGGGTAGGAAGAAAAAAGATAGTGAAAATGGCCATACTTCCAAAATGGTTACACAGATTTAATGCAGTTCCAACCACTCAAGAAATCAGTAGCTTTCCTGTACACAAATAATGAACTAAGTGAGAGAGAAATTAGGGAAACAACACTTTTCACAATAGCGTCCAACAAAGTGAAATACTGAGGAATCAATCTAACGAAGTAAAAGACCTTTACATTGAAAACAGCAGTACTCTGAAAAAAGAGATTGAAGAGGATATCAGAAAGTGGAATGCTATCTCTTGCTTTTGGGTAGGAAGAACCAATATAGTGAAAATAGGCATACTTCCACAATTTTTGTTTTTTTTTTATTTGTTTGTGTTTCTTCTGGTACCAGGAATCAAACTCACAACCTTGCGCTTGCCAGGCAGGCGCTTTGCCGCTGAGCTAAATCCCCAGCCCTTTCCACAATTGTTATACAGGTTTAATGCAATCCTGATCAAAATCCAACAGCGTATCTCACATAATTGGAGAGAACAATCCTGAAATTCATTTG